TGCAGCTGCTGTTGGCTGCCACCTGGTGAGAGGGAGAGTGACCAAGGAATGGAGAGCTCTGGCAGGGGGCAGGCGCTCAGATGGCCAATAGAACTGTGTGTCTCCCCTCCCCCAACACACAAGAGGGAGAGTGACCAAGGAATGGAGAGCTCTGGCAGGGGGCAGGCGCTCAGATGGCCAATAGAACTGTGTGTCTCCCCCCCCCACACACACACCTGCCGGTGGAGCACATGCGGGGCTCTGCCCACTTCTCCAAGCCAGCCAGCACCGGGCCACTGAGGCGCCTGAAACTGTCCTCTGCGGTCATATCTCCTCAGCCAGTCTTCTTCTCCAGTCCCATCATGCTCCTGCGCTGGGCTGCCAACTCTGCCCCTTCCACTTGAGGCCCTGCCCTTCTGGGGGCCCAGACCTGCCCCCCCCTTATCCAGAGGCCTACCTATTTTGTGAGCAGCCCTGCCTGAACCCTCAGTTCCTGTGCTTGTGGCCCTCACCCAGGTCCAGACCTGTGCCTAGGAGACACAGGGGCTGGCTTCCAGCAGCCCATTATTTAAAAACATTACAGTGCCACTGGGGAATGGATGGGCCATTTTTTAAAAACATTTTTTTGCTCAACAACTTTTTTTCCTGCCATGTTCAGTATTTTTCGTGAAACTATCTGGCAACCCTAGTCTGAGGCCCCACCCCTTCTGGCACTGCCCGCAACCACTTCAAAAATGTTTGAAGTAGCCCTTCCTTCAAAAATTATTGCCCACCCCTCCCTTAGAATCATGAACTCCATGATTTCATGATCACTTTCACCCAAGCTGCCTTCCACTTTCAAATTTGCAACCAGTTCCTCCCTATTTGTTAAAATCAAATCTAGAACAGCTTTCCCCCAGTAGCTTTCTCAACCTTCTGAAATAAATATTTGTCTCCAATGCAGCCCAAGAACTTATTGGATAGTCTATGCCCTGCTGTGATCGTTTCTCAACGTATGTATGGATAGTTGAAGTCCCCAACACCACCAAATCCTGGGCTTTGGATGATTTTCTTAATTGTTTAAAAAAAGCCTCATCCACCACTTCTGCCTGGGTAGGTGGTCTGTAGTAGACCTTTAGCATGACATCACCAGTGTTTTTTACCCTTTTTAACCTAACCCAGAGACTCTCAATAAATCTGTTTCCTATGTCCATCTCCACCTCAGTCCAAGTACATACATTCTTAATATGTAAGAACACCTCCTCCCTTTTTTTTCCACCTATCCTTCCTGAGCAAGCTGTACCTTTCTATACCAATATTCCAATCATGTGTATTATCCCACCAGGCCTCTGTGATACCAACTATGTCATAGTTATGTTTGTTTATTAGCACTTCAAGTTCTTCCTCCTTATTCCCCACACTTGGGCTAAGTCTACATTGCACATTCTTGGCAAGAAGATATGCAAATGAGGCACAGAAATGAATATCACTACACCTTATTTGCATACCTAATGAGCTGCCATTTTTGCGCAAAGGGGCTTTTGTGCAAGAAGGAGCAGTCTTGCCCAAGAGCCGTTCTGCTGCTTATTTTCAGGCAGAATGGCTCTTGCACAAGAAGGGGGGGGGCCTTAGTGCAAGAAGGAGCAGTGTAGACTGCTTCTTGCGCAAAAGCACCTTGTGCAAAATGGTAGCTCAAAAAGATATATTCATCGCCACGCCTCGTGCATATCTTCTTGCACAAGAATGCGCAATGCAGACGTAGCCTTCTTGTATTTATATTCAGACATATAAAACTGTTTTGATTTTGCCCCCCAGTTCTGCCTTGTCCCTCCTTTACCTCTGCTGTTATAGCCCACGCTCCCTCCCATTCCCAACCCATCTCCCAGGTCTCCATGTTTTTCACTGTGGGCAAAAATGAAGCTGAGCATAGGGCCCTGCTACCCCTAAATCTACCACTGGGCCAGGGCAGAATCCCACAGGGTGGACCCTCTCTGAACCCAGGGAAGTCAGCCAGGTTCTGCCTTGTCCCTCCTTTACCTCTGCTGTTATAGCCCACGCTCCCTCCCATTCCCAACCCATCTCCCAGGTCTCCATGTTTTTCACTGTGGGCAAAAATGAAGCTGAGCATAGGGCCCTGCTACCCCTAAATCTACCACTGGGCCAGGGCAGAATCCCACAGGGTGGACCCTCTCTGAACCCAGGGAAGTCAGCCAGTGGCTGGAGGGTAGCCCACCAACACACCCCTGGTGCTTTCTGGGAGATGTAGTCCATCCCCTCGCCGCTTCCCGGGGTATTCCCCTGCGGAGACTGGCTGGTTATGGGGAGGGCCTGGGACTGAGCTCAGGGCTTGGGCCTCTCCAGCACCGCTCAGCGCCTCCCTAGCTGGGAAACGACCCCTAAGCGCTGGGCAGGGAGAGCTCCAAGCCTGTGGGTAAATCCAGGGCAGAGCCCAGCTGCTGCGGGGAGGGCAGGGGCTGCAGCTGGCTCCAGCTGCCGTGCCTTGGCCGGGGACAAATTTCCCCGGGGATGAGGAGCGCCGAGGGAGGGAAGGGGAGGAAGCGGGCTGGGGGAAGGTCAGTGCAAATCCCCACGTTACCCGAGGCGGCTTTAACCCTTCGGGCGAACGGTGCCTCATGGCCGAGCTCAGGGGTCCGAGCTGTCTGGGGATGGGACGTTCGCTTAGACCTATGCTAAAGGCTGTGAAGGCAGCAGAAGACTTTCAGAGTGACCTCTCTTTGGAAAGTGCTTAATGCAGCTTGAGTGGCTTGTGTGTGTAGGATTTTGCTGTTTTATTCCCTGGATTTGGAGGCTGCAGAGTTATTTTAGGGGGAGAGAGAGAGATGGGTGTGAAATTGGCCTGCCTGCTCTGGTGGTGGTTGTGGTCTGGGTTGCTGTCTCTGCACTTACAAAGAGCTCTCTGAAATGCATGTTTGGTCACCAGCTCTGTTTCTCCCTCTGTCAGGATGAATGAGCAACTGGGACGTGGTGGAGCTACCTGCAGAGTAGCAGTAGAAGTATGGGAGCCTAACTTTAAAGACAGGAAAGAGAGAAATCTTGTTGCACTACCTTAAAATCTGCATGCATAATTTTTTAAACTTTTGGTTCAAGCCTGTAACCCCTTCCTTGGCATCTCCTTTTTGCCCATCCTACTGCTAGCTAGTGTAACCAGCAGCTTTTGAAAGCAGCTGTCTTTTTATGACATAGAAAACTCCTTTGTTCTACTGCCCAATTTCAAGTCTCTGACAGCCTTAGGTAGTGTTGATAATGTTGTAAATAGAGGTACTTTGAGTGCTTTGCAAAAGCAAATGTGTTACTTGCCTCATTGACCTGTTTTGAAGTTTTAATATGATCCCAACTTTTATAAAGAGTGGGAGGGGGATTGGACATGAAAATATGCACAGAAATGACACAGGAAGATAATACATCTGAGTAGAGTACAGTAATTACTAATTTAACACGTGCCCACTTAACATGTTTTTTGCAATAGCTCAATTTTTTTTAGGTGAACGTTTTTTGAATAACACAACTGTCCTTGAAATAACCTGAAAATAATCAAGTGGCGGACTACTTCATGCGGTGGTATAAATTGGTGAAAACAGTGGTAATACACATGAGCGGATGAATACACATGGTCACAGCGCTCCTCCGGTCACTCACATGTTTATCTTTGTGTTTTAACAAACCGTGGCGACTTGTGTTGCTAGATATTTTGTGTTGCTAGACATCTAATGCTGACGTTAATGACTGAAAATCAACAAAAATTGAATTTGCACCCTCATCTTTTCCATTATTTTTAATGGGAAAATTGACCCTGCATAGCACATTTTCGCTTAGCACGAACATTTTCAGAAATGCATCTTTAGTGTTAAATGAGGAATGACTGTACCCCTAACCACTTCTATGTGCTTCCTCCCAATACAAACCTGGCAAAAGCTAGTTTTATTAGATGTAAGACAATTCCCCTTCCAAGTAATTTTGTATAGTAAATCATCTGCTTTTAATGTAAATCTTCTTTGGTAAGAGATGGTGTTCCCCCTTTGTAGACTTGGAAATATCCACTGCCAGACTCCCAAATGCTATCCTTTTCCAAGTCACACCTGCCTATTTTGTACGGTATTGGGAACGCAGTTTTTGTACAAGGCAGTGGTGATGGATGTGATCATCAGAGGATAGTGTGAATATACATTGTAAATAAAATTTTCTTAAGTTCATGAATATGATTCTTGTTCAAAAACAAATTCTTACTGAGCACACGGATCCAGCATTCTCATCCAAGAGCTGTTCTAAGGTATTTCTGTAGCTCAGTTTGTAGCTGTCAGCCAGCTAGTGTAAAAGGAGTGTATGTTATGGGATAATGTCAAGGGAATAGCGAGTCAATAAAATACTGTCCAACATTATGAAAGTTGGTCAGATGTAAAAAAGGACTGGCAGCTATAATGTGGAGACCATATCCCACCATAAAAGATCTGATTGATACATGGAGGGTCTCTTGGGACACTACTAAATTATACTTTATTTGTGGTGCATATGACTAAGGATGGTCATCCAATAACTAAAACAACGAGTCCTGTGGCACCTTTAAGACTAACATTTATTTGGGCATAAGTTTTCCTGGGCAAAGATCCACTTCGTCAGATGCATTTAGCTGTTGATTCTGGGCTGGTTTATGATAGTGGTTAAAGGTTAAACAAAATACTGAAATCAGACTAAAGAGAAAACTACTAACTACTAACCGATTTCCGTTCCTCATTCCAAAGACACTCTTTATGCAGCGTGTCTAGCAGGAATTGTTATTCCGTAGCCCAAAGCATTTTATCATGAAGAACAGCTACTGTGTGCACTTGGAGTTCTGGTCTAAAATTCTGAACGTTGACCACTTGGAGCACAAAACAGAATGCTACTTGTTCCCTGGGGAAATGTTTTAACAAACTTGTACAGCACAAAAAGAACAATGCAATAAGACAGCTTTAATGTCATCCCAACTATGTAGACTGGCTTCTGGGCAATCTTAAAGGTCTTTCCTTTCACTGTGTGTGCTGCTTGGATTTCCAGTAATCCACTTGTTTGGAGCAGAGATTGATGTGCTTCCATTACTCTTTGTTAAACTTAAACTTGTGTTTCTTCAGCGTGCAATGGTATTGCAACGTTTTTGGTGGTGGATGCTGTCTTCTATCACTGCAGCTCTGAAGGTCTCATTCTCGTTTTCCCTGCTCTGCCTCCCACCCTCTACCCTCTTTTGAAGAGCACTAAATAGCAGAATTCATTATTTGGTTATAATCTAATTGCATTTAAGTTGTGTCCCTTGAATGGAAATTTTGTTTTGCTTCTGTGCTGTTGTTTCTTGTTCTCTTTGTTTGCACTATATGGATTATTTTTTTCTGAAAGTTGTGGTTGAACATTGCCTGGCTGCTGAGATGCTGATAGTCATGGGTCAAGAATGCTGTGGGACCATGCTAGAAGGAAAGCTTGTCATGCTACATCAGTTCTCCTGTGGAGTACCCCTGCCACGTTCTGAACCTTTCCTGAACTGAAGTAGACAGTTTGTCAAATTGTTGTTGGCTTTTTGCAGAGTCTGCACTCACAAAGAACTCTGTGATGTGGAATTTTTCCACTGGGGATTCAGATGAGACCACAACTCATTTTTCATGTTGAAAGTAACAAGAGTTGAACCCAGATCTAGAAATAAAAGGTTAGTTCATTCATGTTCTTGAATGTGGCCTGTCCACACAGTACTGACTCATTTAGGTTAGGTTGCGACTCTTAACGATGTCAGACACTGTGTGCTTTTGGCCACCCGTGATGTGGCTGTATTGGTATTCATTCACACACGAGCCTTCAGTCCTTAGTTGCACTGAATACTCATTTCTTTTATGCATGTTGCATGTGATATAAGTTTTTCATATCACAAGCATTATCACGTGGTAGGAAGCCCATCTTTTTCAATCACCACCCAAACAGGTTTCTTTGCGTTTGCAGGTCTCATGAATTTCTGCCTAGTATTGTTTACTCCCAGTAAACAAACCTCTCTTTGAATAGTGGAACTACAAGTATTCTGCTGTCCATGAGCAATCCTATCTTTCAAAAAGATAACCTGGAGTTCACACATCATATATAAAAGGGGTTCTGAAACTTAAACAATAAATGCAAGAAAGGAATTGTGAATGGTGTACTTGGGGATACTTCTGATCAAGAGTGGAGATGCTTCTCAGACACCCAGAAGTCAGAATGTAAAACTCCTAGCTAAAAGTTTGTCATGGAACAGGGATGGGGCCTCTGTGGAGGTCAGGGGCAGAACCCACTGGTGTCAAGGCTAACTGCCTTCCATTTTCAGCGGCTAGCTGGAGGAGGATGCTGAGAGAGTTCTTCCAGGACAGTGTCCTGGATCTCATTTTTAGCAGAGCTGGATGCAGGAGAGTAAGGTGTGAATGGCTTATTCTGACGAATACCTATGCCAGAACCTGCCAAGTTTGTATTGAAAGTATGTGTGGTGAGAGAGAAACAGACTGTGTGTTTGTGACCAAGAGACTGCAAAAACAGTCTATGGGGTACTGTAGGAAGCACCTTGTGATATTTAGATGGCCACCAGGGGCTTTTTAATTTTTTAGGGGAGACAGAGATAGGGCAGATCTAGGAACCATACCTGGGAAATTTCCTGAATATCTAATGTGTAGCTAGCTGCAATGCCTCCTTAGTGCATCCTGTGATATTTTCAGTAAGGGAATACATTTCAAATTTAACTTTAAACTAGGGATGTAAAATCCTGTTTTTGTTTAACCAGTTAAATGTTTAACTAGTTAACTAATTAAACAGGGGCGGGAGGCCTGGAGTGGCCCCCATGCCGTAGGCAGCGGCTGCTTCAGACCCTGCACTGGGCTGCCAGCTCCAAGCCCATTGGCAGCCTCACAGGTCTGGAGCAGCCTTCCGCCTGTGGCAGGGCAATCCCGGGTAACAGTTAACCATTACTCGGTAAGCATCACCCATTAAGGGTGATGCTTGCCTGGTAACCAGTTGATTTGGTTACCCATTTACATCCCTATTTTAGCCTTACCATGTGGTTAACATGGGCATTTCTGCCCCTCTTGCTGTTGGTTGCTGTATCAGCAACTGAGCTGCATTGTTTATAATCCTGCCAGTATGGAAATCAGTGTAAATCATCTTTTAAAACTAGCAACAAAAGCCATTTAATCTACTGAGCCATCAGAAAAGAGCATTCCTCAGTCTTTTTTCCACACAGCCACAAAAAAGCCATGCAGCTATCATTCCAGAGTACATACTTCTATGAAAGCAAGTGGTGATATGCAAATAGTATACAAGATATAAGCCACACAACTAGCACAGCCCTTCCTCCTTAGAAGTATGGCCCTAGAAAATCATTTAAATTTGCCCAGTTTAACACCTGCTTTTAAGTGTAACTAATACATCCAGCCTTTGGCTGTGAGGCATCCATATAATGATGTCTGAACATGGACCTTCTCTGACATTGATTTATCTCACTTTTAAGAAAAAATTATCAGTTCTCCCAACTAAGTTGACACAAGCACGGCACTGACAGTGCTTAAACCCTGGCTGCTTTTCCAGTGGTGGTGGCTTTTCCAAAATGCATACTTCAGAGACTCCCCTGTGTGCTGTTTTGTTCAAAGGAAAGGCCTTGTCATGGAAAATCAATTTGGTTAGTCTTTATTATTGAAATCTCTGAGGCAAGAACCCTTGTTCTGCATGTCAATGAGTTCTAGTAATTCCTGTGGACAGGGTTCTCAGTGGTCTTCCCTATAAGGGGACACTATACATTGTTTGGATTTTTCTTTTTTGTATAATTGTAGAACTATTTCTCAGGAAAGGAACTTCGACTTCCCATCTGTTTCCAGTCCCTCGTGTATGGGAGTGACTCATCACAGTGAGTTGAACTTCCCATGTGCCAGAATTTGTATTTGCCCCATGTGTAATTTTTGTTCACGTTATTGTCTCCTCTCAATTGCTCTTGTTTAATTTCTCATACGTGCTCCCCCCATCGTTTGGTTTTGGGATTATTAGTCAGTGCAGGATAGATAATTGCATCTGGAGCACTGTCTGAAAGAGTAAATTGCTCTGCCAAGGATTATTGAGTCAAGGGGTCAGCAGCTGCTGTGCTTAGAGCCACAAGCATACTGCCTAGGGCCAGGGGCTTTCAGGGGTGCATGTCTCATTCTGTTTCACTCCGTCTCTCTCATGTGGAACAAGTTTTACTTAGCTTATTTTTGCTTCTAAGCATCATGTTTTGAGCCCAAGAATACATACATCTTCTGGAAGAAGGCTTAAATAAACTTATTTTCCAAAGTGCTTAATTGGGTTCCTGACTTATTTTCCTTGACTGGAAGGCTATTGACTAAGTAGGTGTATGAGGATATATAAAGTGTGGGGAAAGGAAGGCAAGGGAAGGGGGAAAGTTGTTCAGAGCTCCTTCAAGGACTAGAAGGATTCTGAGAAGGGAAGAAATCACTTGAAGCCTTAAGTGTTGGGAGTCTGAGCTGGGGTGAAATTCTATAGCTGGGTTGGTCTGCTCCAATCTGAGAGTGGCCCTAATTTGAACAACACACAGCATTTTAGGAAGGTAGGGTTCTTCTCTCAACCTAAACATTTCCTGTAACGCCAGTTGGTCGACATGGCATTTCTGATGAAAGTAACGAGCCTTGCTTGTAGCTAGGAATCTGAACCATTGCTGAAAACAGCTTTCAGCATAAGTTTCCTTTGAAGCTGGATTGAAGCCAGCACCCAAAACCAAGTAGGCAGAACTACTTGTTGTTGTTTCACAAAGCTTACATCTCACTTGTGCCTTCCAGAATGAGCAGTTTACCAGAAAAAAATAATTTTTGGCATAGCTCTGGTAAATTGGTTCAAAGTGGGAAAAATAAATGTATCCATGTCCAGCTGGTTCAGTAAGCATAGAACGAATCTTTTCAAACTTTGGATGAATCTGTTAAAAACAGAAATGGCCTCAGTCTATCTATTACATCAAAGATGGTCATCTGCTACAGAATGCTGGATGGCCAGTTAGGCTTGGTAGTCTGCAAGTCTGCTTCCCTCTGAGTGCTTAACACTTTAAGCCTACAACTCTGGATTACTATTGTCTTTGTATAATACAATGGTTTTGACTCGAGTATCTACTGTAACCTAGTTGAATATACATTTAACTGATAAGCCTAGGCTTATTGGTTAATTCTGTCGACTACATACATTTTCTCTCCCCCCCCCCCCCCCCCTTGCTGCCTCTGTATCAGAGGCAGCAACGGGAGGGAGCAGGAGTCGGTGCTGAGGGGAGATAGCTTAACAGGCTATCAGAGGCAGCAGAGCGGAGTAGGAAGGAAGGTACAGGGGAGGCTGCCATGAAGCAGCCTCTGTTTGTGGCGGGCCCAAGCACTCCATGGACAGAGACTGCTCTGCATTATGCAGAGCAGCCTCTGTCCATGGCTTGTTTAGTTTAGAAAAGAGAAGACTGAGAGGGAACATGACAGTCATTTTCAAGTATCTGAAAGGGTATTACAGGGAGGAGGGAGAAAAATTGTTTTCCTTGGCCTCTGATGATAGGATAAGAAGCAATGGGCTTAAACTGCAGCCGGGAGGTTATTAAACACTGAAATAAATTGCCTAGGGAAGTTGTGGAATCTCCATCTCTGGAGATATTTAAGAGCACGTTGGATAGAAATCTATCAGGGATGATCTAGATCCGTGGTCACCAACCTGTCGATCGCGATAGACTGGTCGATCGCGAGGCCTCGACCAGTCGATCGCGAGGTGTTCAGGCAACCCCGCCCCTCATTTTCCCCTCTGCATTACCTACCTCTAGTGTAGTGCCGGAAGTCCTCTCTGAAGCCCACGTCGCTTCCGGGAATTCCGGAAGTGCGCGGGCTGCTCCCCCTCCCACAGCTCTGTTGCGTGCTGGAGGAGGGGGCGTTTGCCTTGGAGGAGGAGTGCGGAGGCTTCCCTGCGCCACCGGCGCCGGAGGGGTGAGTTGAGCGTAGGGGTTTCCCGGTGCCGCGGGAGCAGGGGTCGACCCTGGGGTTTGGCTGTGCTGTTGGAGAGGAGGGAGTTGGCTGGCCCCGGCTGGGCCCCGCCCCCACCCGGAAGGGGGGTTTT